AACAGCAAAGGGTCTGAGGAAATTAACACCTGATTTTGTGTTTGTAACTCAAGTCAATAGTGTCTCCATCTTTGGAGACAGCAACAAAGTGTTATCCAAAGAGAAACAGATGAATGTGACCTTCATAATCACTGGGAATACAGTCTACAAAACCATATAATGACTATATAGTTGATGTTTACAACTAATCAAAGTGGTTCTTATTACTAAAAGGTAATGCTACCAAAATCTTTGATACTTTAACATAATTTTAAGCCTCTGAGCATGAATAGCCCTAACAAGAGAGTGAAGTGTTAATCTTTTTTATTTCCATATATGATATACACATATAATACATGGAAATAAAAATTATTAGGAGATTGTAGTATTCCTTACACATCCCAGTACGTGCAGCTGCCATCACAACAAGCCTATCCCATATGCTCCTTTATCACAACTCATGAAAAAAAATCCCCTTGCACATGGACATACCACACCCCAGAACTGCTCCTCCTCTCTAAGTGGCTCTTCTGCCTGTAAGCCCAAGGAGGGAAATCTGCTTTTTGTCTGTGGCCTGAATTTTTGCTGAGCCACTTTGTGCCCACATTGCTGATCATCAGCCTGTTGATCACTACAAACTGAAAACCTCTGTTTTCTTGGGGGAGCTGTGAATCACTAGGAACTAAATAAATGTACCATAATCTTGGTTTCAGAGCTCTGCCTCAGGAGATATGGGACGGCTTCCAGAAGCATTTCTTTTAGGACCTCTTTCTCCCTTCTGTTCTCAGCTTTCACACCTAACAGGTTGTTCCACTCTTAAAATGGCCCAGAGCTTTGTTCCTCTTCTGTTCATGGCAAAAGGTAAGACCTTTTGTACTGCAACATTTTGGCCCAAAAAAGGCTGCTGACTGGAAAGTTTTGGGGGAATTAATTCTGGCAGACATGGTAGAAAACACACACCCAAGCAGCAGCATGGTGATCTGATTCACAGAATGGGCTTGTGAAACACTGTTTATAATTAGGACCATGAACTGTTACTATGCATTTGAGAATCACTGAAAACGAGAAACATAACTGTAAGTTGTTAGAAAGGGTTTTGGTGATAAGGACTCTACTGTATTTCCACTAACTACCACCCCTACAGAAGACCATGCTAAATAGAAAACTCATTTCCAAGGGCAGGGGAAGCCCGGTTCTTTATTGCTAGATTCTAAAGCAATTGGAGCTCACTTACAGTAACCTTATAGTACTCTATATAAACTGAGAAGCTTGTATCAAGTTCAGGCTTCCATTTAAAATAGATATTGCAGACATTAGGCTTCAATTAAAGAAGAAAAATAACCTTCAGTGCTTCTTTTCTTTTTAAAGGCAAAGTATTAAAAAAAAATCCCCAAACTATGTGAAAGTTATTAAATTTCTCAAAAAAAATTAAGATGAGCTTTCTTCTATTTCTTGAGACAGTACAATTTGTGATTCACAGGGTAGCTGGTATCAAACACAAGTTAATGAAAGCTCTTATAAGCAATTTTATTCCTATCCATAATGGCAGACATTAACAAAATCAAAAGAATTTATCATTTGAGTTCAACTTAAAAAATAACTTATAAAGCAGTGATATATGCAATGTAGAACAGTTCAAGAGGGGACAGGGAAAGCAAATTTTAATAATTAAAATGTAAACGTGAGAAAAAAACCGGAATAGAAGTCCCTACTTCTCATTTCTACTTAAGATGTGATGTGATACTATTTTACAATGTCCTGTGGGTGTCTGGATGTGTGTGTGTGTTTCTGTGTCACACACACACACACGACATTGACACACACATGTCACACACAGACAGTCTTGCAGTTCCACCTCGGACAGGTCTGTCACAGCACTCTTTACAGTTGTCTCAAGCATGGGACCCACTTCCTTGACAAAATGGGGGAGATGGTAGGAAAAGAAAAACAAACCAGGTGGGTCTGATTGTGTCTGAGATCCTTTAGTTAAACTGTACACTGGGACGAGCAATTTTCTTCTGCAGTAGCTCTCTGGAGAGGGCCAACTCACTGTGGTCTTCGTGGTGACACTGGTGAGCGGGTCACACACTCATTGTCATGCTAGGGGAGTACTGCAAAGAGAGCAATCCACATTTTAACAATCTCTTCTCCCCCACCCCAGGGAACCAAAACCATATCTGCGCCACAGCAATGGGTTCAGAGGTCAACACACTCCTTGAGCTTCCTCCTCAATTTGTGGCTGCAGCCTTTGCTAAGGCTGTAGTTCAATTTGTGGCATCGTAACTACCATTGTGCTTCTCTCATGTACAAATACAGCTGTTGCTGATAAAGGCAATGCCCTTGGAGGCTGTTTTGGTGTTAACTGGGTGATGTGATGAACCAAAACATCACTGCTGCTTTCCACGCCCCTTCCTGGCCCGTGTTGGCTACTGGGGGAATTTAGCTGGGCAGACTGGCTGCATTCATGGTTAGCTGAACCACAGAAATATTTTGGGGAGCTTTTTATTACCTTGTGGAAAGAAAGGAGTAAAGATATGTATGACTATGATTAAATTAGGCTTTTAGTCTGTATTATTTTGTGTTACCAGTTTCAGGAGGCAAGCTGCATCAGGGACTAGTGGTCATTCCATGCTGACTCAGGGACCAGTGGCCACTCTCCTTGGTGTGACCCAAAAATTCTATTGCCACGCAGTCACACTATCACAGTGACACAACTTAAACTGCAGCCCTCACACAAGCTACAGATGCCCTCAGGTTAGCAGTACTTCATTAAAATAATTAACAGGACACCACAACGCCTAGAAAAACTGCACATCTACACACCTAATTTGTTTTTAAATTGCAAGCTATGGACTGCAAAAGCACTTAATTTGGCCTAAAATTCTCTAAGTAGAGGTAGGTGTTCAAGAAGTATCAGCATTTTGAAAACTAACAGAAAAACAAAAAGATAAATTTGTCTTTGTAAAGCCAGGTATGCCATAAATATCCTGCCAAGGCTTGAGCTCCAAGCTGACCATTTCCAAGTGTCCAAGCTTATAGAAAAAGCATTTTGAATGGGTCTTCCCTGTCATCTGAGCTACACAGAATGGACTCCAGCTCAGAAGGCTTAAAGCAAAGCACCTGCTCAAGTGGGGAAACACTTTGGACAAGGAATCAGTTGACAGTCTCAAGGTGTTTATGATTTTTAACTTGTTATTAGCCAAGCACCTTTCCCCACCCCAACCAAAACTCCTAATGAACTGAACAGATGATCTGCCTGAGAAAGGACTTTATAATAATGCCTTTTCTGAGTAGCCAGGTGGCAAAATATGAATCAGAAAGAAGGCAATTCCCAAGGACAACAGTGTGACCCGTGTTGGAGAGGAACCGGTACCTAGAGCAGATCAGAATGTACCTGGGATGTGTAACAGAAGCCTTGTAGGCACACAAGTCAATAAAACCCTGAGAAAACTGGGTCCCTGGTTCCTCCAGGCAGGAAAACAGCATCCAGGAGCACCTAGAATCCAGTAAGTGTCTGAAAACACTGATTTTCTCTGGAATATAACTGATGTCCTCTTCCCGTGACCGATGTTTTGGTGACCTGGCCTGCGTGCTCTCAGCCAAACTGAGAGTCAGGGGCTGCCATGAATGGGGATCACGTTTAATGGAGGCTCTGTGGTTTTGGCAGACACTGAAACATTGGTCTTTTTGGTTGTACAAGACAATTTTCTCTAACACTCCACACAACATGAGTGTATGCCCACCAACAGCTAACTTGCAGAAACTCTTCCTTTTCACTAGTGAAAGAAGAAAACCCAAAAAAACCCTCAAAATCTGATTCCCATGAAATTTGCCACGGAGTTCAACTGTGTTGATATCTAACAAAACTGTTTACTTGCCGTAATTCCTGAGCTGCAGGTCACCAATTAGTAGTTAATGAAGTTACACTCCCATTTAGGGACCTAAACGTGGATTTAGAAACCCAACTTCAGGCACATGAGTATGGAAATACCACAGTCTTGCTCTGTAATGTATTTTACACCACAGTTTGCTGCCTCAAGCATTATTCATTAAAAAAAAAAAAAAAAAGAAGCATAATTTGACCCAGAATGAACGCTAGAGGGAACCTTTGCCTTTTATGGCTCTAATAGCACATGGCATATTTGCAACACGGAATCTACTGATGTTCTAATCACATACTTCAGTGTAAACCCTGCTCTTTCACTGACAACTGACCTCTTAACCCAGAAAAATCATTTCTGCAGCAAACCTACACCTCCCAACTTTTGGTTTTTATTCAAATTTAGAAGCTATTAAAAAACATGCACTACAAGCACTTGTAGTTTTTCTTTTTTTAAAACAAAAAGTCAGAAATAAAGGTTCACAAAGTAAAACAAGCCACCAACCAATGTAATGAAATACTTACGCTCTCACTCTGGAAAGGGTTTAGGAAGTTTCCACCCATCTCACTGTCATCTCTGGGAGTGCCAGGCTGGTTGCTCATGCTCATATTACTGGGAGAGTTCTGTTAAATAAGAATAAGTGTTGAAGATTCCAGTTCAATTCTCAGCCTCACCACGTGTGCCAAATGCATGTTTCACTCAGCACTGTGGTGCAGTGGGGTTTTCAAGGACGAAAAATCAGCGCCTGCAGGGTTCTGCATGATTCACTCACTAATTTTAGCCTGTAAAGTAATGTTTTCTTCCCTGAAGCAAGGATTGTTTACCTGTAACTCTTGTTTTCAGGTCATAGCCAGCATCCACTTCTGCTGAAGTCAGGAAAATCTATAAAAGGCTGCAGCAGGTGTATGAGAAAGTTCTGCCACAACATTAAATCGTGGTTAAATGCAGCCATGTCTGTGAGTGTGTACCTTGCCATATGTGAATTATGAAATAGGTACTTAGAGGAAGACACAGGATGGATCTGGTCTGCACAGACCTCTTCAAGGGCCTGTCCCTGGAGTCTTTGCTCACTGTGGTCATAATTTACTGAAATAGTAACAACCTAAAACCTCCTGAAAATAATTTTTTTTTTCCTTACAGAAGTGCACAACTACCTCTCCAACGTTCAGGAAGAGAATGGGTGAAACAAGGTAATTGTCAGAGAAATTATTCTGAGTCAACAGCTCACATATTGCACACACTACAATTAGTCAGGTGCCTTTACAAAGCTGATCTGAAGTTCCCTACCATGCCTGGGGCACAGACAATTCCCTTTCCATCCCTATTAAAGACAGGGATGCTTAGAAGACTCGTGATGGAAAAAGAGAAGTCAGAGAAAGGGAGGAGTGAAGTCATGAACTTCATGATCAAGTGCTTACATATATCATAGTCCTTCCCTTGGCTTTTTTTTAACCCAGAAAAACTTGGATGCAATATCAATATAAATACAAAATTAATTACATACATGACAATTAAAAGCCTAATGAGTTTATTAACATCAGACAATTAAGTCTGCTATTCAGTGAAGCCAGTATATAGGAAATATGATCAAGGATATAGGACATACAGATCAAAAACATTGATATCTATTGCTTTAGCTCAACCATAGTTACTGTACCTTAGGCAGGAATTAATTCAGGGAAGCCCTGTTGCCTGTGTGATGTAGGAGGTCATATTACACAACCATGTCAGTCCCTCTAGCCTTACAATCCATGAATATAAAGTTTAAAACCCACTAAAGCCTTGTCACATTTATTTTATTAATGCTCCCACACTTTTGCTCATTCCTGGGAGATTTGCCCCTATTTTATCTTGCTCTGTGTGGCACTAAGCTTTGAAATTCTGCTACTACTAGAGCACACCAGCCCCAAAGGGTCAAATTCCTGACAAAATCCCTTTTATAGTGACTCCAGGCTGCTTTTATGGCCAGTTGGGGTCCAGCACTGGAGCACAAACTGGGCTTTTCCAAGCTAAGTGTGGCCTTGATGCCTGTACAAATTCCATGGGCGTTGCAATAAACATTGGTTACTGATGTTTACTTCATATGCATAATTTCAGTTAATTTATTCCCATCCTCCCCAGTCTACTTCATAAAAACTTTATGCTCTGCAATTCAGCCAGTTAAATCAAAATCTTCTGTAGAAAACTCTGGATTCTGTGAGCTGTACTGATACTGAGTGAAGTAATTTTCTATGGACAACTCTCTACACCTGAAATTAGCAGCATTTTTCTTTCAGTTATTTGAAGAAGACATAAAGCAAATGTAATTCCTGTGAGTTATTCATTAAGGTTAACAGATTATGAGACTTTCAGGTAAATTTTTTTACCCAAATTTTCAGAGCTCCTGCCACTTGTACTAGCACATACTTAATGCCTCTGAGTTGAATACTAGCTTTAAAAATTATCCCATGGAAAATGAAATGCTTGGGCTTTTTTTTTTCCTTAAAAAATGCTGCAATTTGCAATAAAATACTGAAGAAAAACCATAGACATTAATTAAAAAGGTGCTGTATGGTGATTATATCACTGGAGGATTTTACTGAACCCATCACTGCATGGCCCAGCACAGCACAACTGGGGCAATGTAGTCATTTTTATCCATCACTTAACTTTCTGCAGAGCCTGAAGATGTTACAAAATATAAGAATACAGGGTCCTTGTTATTTATGACAGTTTACCAAAAAAGTTCATTAATTCCCAAGTTAATGATGATCACATATGTAGCAGTTTTATTTTTACAGAAGTGACGCACACAATCACAGCATTATTTTTGTAGATGCAAAACCCCTGCAGGTTAAACTTACATCCATTTCCAGCTAATGGTTGTGATAGCAAAAGAGTGCTTCTTCCTGAAACTACTTCTGAAGCCAGCTTTTGGGAACTAAACCTAATGATTAGGATATTTAACCTAATGATTAGGATATTAACACTACCTTACAAAGGTGGCAAAAGCAATCCTGCAATATCCTAAAGACACTGTCCCAAATTTACAGTTAACTGGAGTTGATTATCAGAACTGTTTCCATTTATCTTAATAATATTGAAAACTACAACATGATAAATCAGATTATGGACTGGGTACAATTATACATAATATAGATATAATAAAATAAAGATGCATAACAAAGAGCTTCGTAACAGAGACAAGGGAAAATAGTTCTAAAAATTCTAAATATTTGATCAGATACTCACTTTGGAAATACTGTCCATGTCTCCTGAGCCTTAAATTAAAACAGACAATTAATCAGTTTTGAACTGAAGTTAATCCTATACTTTTTTTCATAGAAAATATATAGTGTATCAAAAATATTTTAAACCATAACCAACTTGGGAAAAGTTTATAGTCAGTATAATCAATTCAATCAATTAATTTGAGGTTACATCAACTTTTGCTGTATTACACATACTGATAATAGTATCTCTTAGAAGAAACCAGATGATCCTGAAAACTAGAGTAACAGAAACCAAATGAAATTAAATATAATCAGTATGAGACTATTAATTTTTTCACATGCTGTAGTTGTCAGGTAAAGCCAAGAATAAAGGAAATGTGACTTTAGGATGGATGTAGCAAGAAAAGCTTATTTTAGCAGCAAAAGACACCTATTTTCAGGAAATACAAATTCTGGAAGAGTACTGAATGCAAAACTAGAAGAGTATCCTAGGAAAACAACCAAAAAATGGAGCTGTGGGAGAAGACTGAAATAGCTCAGTATTTGATACAGTCAGGCAAATCAAGGCTGAGAAGGAATATGATTCCTCCTCTCTATAAAACCACCATATACATAGATTTTATCAAGAGTTATTTTCTCACAGTCCAAAGGATAATTTTTGGTGGAAATAGGGAAAATATTTCTTTCTCATCATCAAGAGCTGTCAACAGATATCCAACAGAAGGGTTGTGGTCCAGAAAGCTGGAGAGGTCCAAGAAAATAATTAAGTGCATGGCAGGTATATGTAAAATCCTTCCACAACTGTTTCAATTTAATTTTTCATTTTAGCTAAGAAATCAGGCTGTAGAAAGTGACAGAAAGAAGGTGTGGCTGCCTTTTACAAAGGTTTTCATTGATCTGAATGCAATGTGCATCAATATTAATTAAACCAAGAATCCATTTTAGTATTGAAATAGGTAAATAGAGGCTGCAAAGTAATCTAAAATTTCACGGACATTCTTTCTTTTAAAAAAATGTAATTTTATTAGCAATAGGTGTGTACTGCTGAATTTTAACTGTTCCAAAAAAGTCTAGTGCTAAGGGAGGTGATAGCTTTTTTTTTTCTCGTCTTTAATTTCTCCATTTGTTTCAGCTTTTCCAGTTTTCAGGAGATTTTTACACACTTTCATCCACAGAACTCCAAGAACCAGTCACAGAAAATAGCACTGCCGTTGACAATTCACCATGTTGTCAATAGTTACTGTCATTACCTAATGATCCATTCATATGATGTGAATCCATTCCACCCAGTCCACTCATCGGCCCATCTGACCCTGGTCCCAGAGGAAACTACAAAAGGAACAGACATTAAAAACTGTACAAATATTTTTTAGACAACCTAATAAAGAGAAAATATTCCTCAAGAGGAAAAATAAAAACAGTAAAGGAAAAATTCACAGTCTCAGCTCTGAATGAGAAGGGACTCTCAAGTTCCATTCAGACCTTTAAGAGAAGGTCTTCCACATGAAGACAGAAAACCATCATTGCTATTGGTCACTTTAATGATTTTTGGAGACTGTCATCTCTGTAGGCTGGTCTATAACTTAGGAATAATTTATTATTTACTTAAACACTATATGTATGACTTTCCAACCTGCTGGTGCTGACCCAGCCCTACTCCCATTGAAGTTACAGGGAACTTTATTACTCCCTTAAATTATTAATTTAAGTCATTAATTACCAGCTTTCAAACCCTGACTGCTCCACATTACCTTTGCAACTGGAGCAGTTTCTGTCCAATTTCATATATTAATCTTAAATTTACCTCTTCACAAAATTAAAGACATCAACATTATGGCAAAAACAATCTACAATTTACTGCATAATGATTTATCAGTATTTATAGATAATTATTTTTAAGTTACACTGGTGATTTTTTCCCAAGGGCCCACAACTGAAGTGCCACCCATAAGAATGGAAAACTTAGCAATAACGCTACCTGATGGAAATGCAATGTTTGGATACACAAAAGGCTGCATAATTCAAAGAAACATACAGCTAAATTCATATTTACATTAGGTCTGTTGGGTCCAGGAGGTACAGCATTCATTAAAGTGTACATGTTGTCTCCAGAGTTGGTTGAATCTGTAATAAGATATTATTTTAAGCGCTAATATACACTTTTCAATAAAACTACTCACCTAATACATTTCCTGTCATTTCTGTGCCTGGATCCCTGATACACAGTGGCAAGATAATGGAAGATTTTATTGCCTTTCTACCCATTGCTGCCACACAACAGAGCTATGAAAAGAAAAAATTGCCATGGTCCCTCAGTAGCTACCTCTGGTCTCTGGTTTTTATGCATGACTGTTAAAAGGTTTATAAATCACCAAGTATCTGTAACTATTTAATTCCATATTGCTGTTTCCTGGAGTCCTAAATTACTTCACTCATCTTCAATATTCTCTATAAAACAGGAGTTTGTTTCTGATCAGTGCTTCCTGCAATTTGTTTTCCATCTGGAAGAAAAGATAAAACAACTTTTCCTTACACAGACTGTGAGTTAGTGAAAGTTTTTTACTCTCATGCCTGTCAGTCTATTTGATTTTGGGTATATCCAGCTCCTCAGTGGGACACTGTGCAACAATCTCCACTCTTGAGGGAGGCTTTGTCTTCATGGTATAGCATGGTGCAATGCTTCAACCCCCTCCCCCAAATGTTGAAAACCTAAAGAAAGTCTAAATGCATCCCTAAAGGTACAGCATGATTTAACAGAAAATACTGGCAACCCTGGAAAATCATTTTTTTCTGCAAAGAGAATAAAGAGAGCTCAGCACTCTGTACCCAGACCCTGCACAAGGCCATTCCACATCCAATGCATTTCTGTGTACACAGGGAAGTTAAATCAAGGCTTTCGTCTACAGCTTCATCTTCCTCAAATGACTCTCTAAGTGTTAATTTAAAATAAATAACTGAGTTATATACAGAGCACTATATATCACTAGAACATTCAAACATGCTGTCCAAAGAAAAGGGGGACACAAAAGGCTTTCAGCCTATAAAATCAGCATTTTAAGTTATTTTTAATATTCAGTAAGGTAGGCAAAAAGTTCTTTATCCAAGATACATCCCTGGCTCTGCCCGTGTCCTGCTAGCTCATGAAAAATACACATGGCTGGGCTGTGGGAATCCTTGAATTGTTTGTCTCAGGGGAGAGTAAACACTTTGGCAAAATTTGTGGGTGGCCAATTCCTAAGTGTTTTCACACTTTGGAAAACAGAACTTTCAAAACATCTTTACCTTAGGTTGCTTTTTTTAAAAAAACAAAAATCTGTGGAATTGTATTTAATGAAAATAATATTATGGTGCGGTAAGTTTTTATGGTCAGCTAGGAAAGTTCCCTGCCCTCCGGTGCTGCAGACGACAGCAAGTAGGGGAAGAAAAACCTGATGCAGAAAATATAAATCAAATAATTTATTATTTGACACTTTACTAAAAAATATAATTTGTGTGCTTCCTAAAATCCATTATGATTTTATAATTTCCAAGTACATTTCAGTACCTGCAGGACTAGGCATGATGGGTGTTCCTGGTGGCCCTCCACCTCCTGGGGGACCCTGGAGACAGGAAAAAATGTCAGTTAGCATGAAATGAAAGATTAAAAAAAATTCCCAAACATAAAAAAACCATCAAGGAACACCTGTTTTTTTAAAGTTTCAGGTATTTCTGGGTCACAAATCTGTTCAGGACTAAGAATACAAACCACTCTGGTTGTTAAACAGGAGTTTTAGGATTCTTACAGAATTTCTCTAGGAATTTTATTCTAATAATCCTAATCATTTAGTAAGAACAGAACCAGAACGTTTTGTTTCCTATGTTTGCAGAGCCACTAATATCTTTAAGTAACATGAAAAACTACCAACTTCCACTGTGGCAAAAATGTCTATGTCAATAAAAGTTAAATATTGACTTTCCATAATAAAAACCAGTCAGATTGCTAGTAATACATTATTTTTCCATTGCCACGTGACTATTACTTTCTATCTTTTGTTATAATTCAAAACAGTAGATATACTATTTCAGACAGGAATTTTTTTTTTTTCAGTGGCAGCAAATAAAAGGGTTTGGTTGTTCCTGTCTGCTTACAGGGTATCTATCCATATACTTTTTATCCATATAAACATAT